ATGGACTTCAAACTCGAATGTAAGACCTTTAACCATAAAATCCCTAGAAGATACATAGGGAAAAATCTCCTTTAAAAAACTTCAATGATATTTTGGCTATGACCCCAAAAACACAGGAAACAAAAGCAAAAATAGACAAATAGTATTTCATCAAACTAGAAAGCTTTTACACAGCAAAGGAAATGATCAACAGAGTGAAAAGGCGACCTAAGGGATTGAAGAAAATATCTGCAAACCATGTATCTAAGAAAGAGTTAAAATCCAAAATATATAAGGTATTCATACCACTCAACAGCAAAGAAAGTGAAAAGCAGTAAACAGACAAAGCCCAACAATAAATAATCTGATTTAAAAATAGGCAAAGAACCTTAACAGATACTTTTTCCAAAGAAGATACATAGGTGGCCAACAAGTATATTAAAAATGCTCAGCATTGGTAATCATCAGGGAAATGCAAATCAAAATCACAATGAGATCTCACATCACAGCTGTTAGAATGATAATTATAAAAAACACAAAAGATAACAAGTGTTGGTGAGGGCTTGGAGGAAAGAGAACCCTTGTTCACTGTTGATGGGATTGTAAATTATTAGAGTGGTATGTTATGAAAAACAGTATAGATGTTCTTCCAAAAATGAAAAACAGAACTACCACATGATTCAGCAATTCCATTTCTGGGTATGTATCTTAAGGAAATGAAATCAGTTTCTCAAAGAGATATCTGCACTCCTAGATTCATTACATAATAGCCAAGATTATAGAAACAACCTAAGTGTCTGTCAACAAATGAGTGGATAAAGAAATTTTGGTATTCATACATATGGTAGAATATTACTCTGCCATAAAAAGAAGGAAATACTGTCATTAGTGACAATATGGATGAACTTGAAGAATACTTTGCTAAGTAAAATAAGCCAGGCACAGAAAGACATATACTGCATGTTGTCACTAATGTGGGAGCTAAAGAAAAACGCTAGACTCATGGAGATACAGAATAGAATGATGGTTACTTGAGGGTAGGAAGGATAGTACAGAGGGTTAACAGATACAAAAATACAGTTAGAAGGAATAAGATTGAAATTTGGCACTAGACAAGATGCCCTCTCTCACCACTCCTATTCAATATAGTGTTGGAAGTTCTAGCCAGAGCAATCAGGCAAGAAAAAGAAATAGAGTATTCAAATGGGAAAGGAGGAAGTCAAATTGTCTCTATTTGCAGATAACATGATTGTATATTTAGAAGACCCCATCGTCTCAGCCCAAAATCTCCTGAAACTGATAAGCAACTTCGGCAAAGTCTTAGGATACAAAATCAATGTGCAAAAATCACAAGCATTCCTATACAACAATAACAGACTTAAAGAGAGCCAAATCAAGAACGAACTGACATTCACAATTGCTACAAAGAGGATAAAATACCTAGGAATACAACTAACAAAGAATCTAAAGGACCTCTTCAAGGAGAACTACAAACCACTGCTGAACGAAATAAGAGAGGACACAAACAGATGGAGAAATATTCCATGTTCATGGTTAGGAAGAATCAATATTGTGAAAATGGCCATACTGCCCAAAGTAATTTATAGATTCAATGCTATCCCCATCAAGCTACCAATGACCTTCTTCACAGAACTGGAAAAAAACCATGTTAAACTTCATATGGAACCATAAGAGAGCCTGAATAGCCAAGTCAATTCTAAGCAAAAAGAACAAAGCTGGAGGCATCACACTACCTGACTTCAAACTATACTACAAGGCTACAGTAATCAAAACAGCACGGTACTGGTACCAAAACATAAATATAAACCAATGGAACAGAACAGAGGCCTCAGAGGCAACACCACACATCTACAACTATCTGATCTTTGAACAAACCTGACAAAAACAAGCAATGGGGAAAGGATCCCCTGTTTAATAAATGGTGTTGGGAAAACTGGCTAGCTATGTGCAGAAAGCAGAAACTGGCCCCCTTCCTGACACCTTACACTCAAATTAACTCCAGATGGATTCAAGACTTAAACATAAGACCTAACACCATAAAAACCCTAGAAGAAAATCTAGGCAAAACCATTCAGGACATAGGCATAGGCAAGGACTTCATGACCAGAACACCAAAAGCATTGGCAACAAAAGCCAAAATAGACAAACAGGACCTAATCAAACTCCACAGCTTCTGCATAGCAAAATAAACAGTCATTAGAGTGAAACGGCAACCAACAGAATGGGAAAAAAATTTTGCAATCTACCCATCTGACCAAGGGCTGATATCCAGAATCTACAAAGAACTAAAACAGATTTACAAGAAAAAAACAAACAAGCCCATTCAAAAGTGGGCGAACGATATGAACAGACACTTTACAAAAGGAGACATACATGAGGCCAACAAACATGAAAAATGCTCATCATTACTGGTCATTAGAGAAATGCAAATCTAAACTACATTGAGATACAGTCTCATGCCAGTTAGAATGGCAATCATTAAAAAATCTGGAGACAACAGATGCTGGAGAGGATGTGGAGAAATAGGAACACTTACATTGTTGGTGGGAATATAAATTAGTTCAACCATTCTGGAAGACAGTGTGGCGATTCCTCAAGGACCTAGAAATGGAAATTCCATTTGACCCAGCAATCCCTTTACTGGGTATATATCCAAAGGATTATAAATCATTCTACTATAAGGACACGTGCACATGAGTGTTCATTGCAGCACTGTTTACAATAGCAAAGACCTGGAACCAACCCAAATGCCCATCAATGATAGACTGGACAGGGAAAATGTGGCACATATACACCATGGAATACTATGAAGCCATAAAAAAACGATGAGTTCGTGTCCTTTGTAGGGACATGGATGAACCTGGAAACCATCATTCTCAGCAAACTGACACAAGAACAGAAAATCAAACACTGCATGTTCTCACTCATAGGTGGGTGTTGAACAATGAGGACACATGGACACAGGGAGGGGAACATCACACTGGGGTCTGTTGGGGAAAATAGGGGAGGGACAGCGGGGGGTGGGAGTTGGGGAGAGATGGCATGGGGAGAAATGCCAGATATAGGTGATGGGGAGGAAGGGAGCAAATCACACTGCCATGTGTGTACCTATGTAACAATCTTGCATGTTCTTCACATGTACCCCAAAACCTAAAATGCAATAAATTAAAAAAAATTAAAATTATAAAAAAAAGAAGGAATAAGATTGTGTTTGGTAGCACAATAGGGTGATTATAATTAACAACAATTGATTATATATTTGGAATGTTCCTAACACAAAGAAATGATTAATGCTTGAGGTGATGGATATTCCAGTTACCCTAACGTAATCAGTAGCATCTCACATTATATCCTTGTATCAAAATATTACATGTAACTCATAAATATATACAATTATTTTTAATGATATGGGTTCATATCATTAAAAATAAAAAATAAAAAAACAAAATAAAAGTCAAATTCATGGAAGAAGATAGTAGAATGGTGGTTTCTAGAAGCCAAGAGGAGAGTGAAATGGGGAGAGGTTGATCAAAAGATTGCACAGTCTTTTAGTTACATGAATAAGTTTTGGGAATCTGTAGTGTAGCATCATAATTATAGTTAATAATATTATATTGTGTACTTGAAATTGATGAGAGAATATTTTGTGTCTCACTCCCCTACACACAAATGGTAATTATGTGTGTTGATGGATGCATTAATTATGATAATCATCATGCAATGATAAGTTATACACCTTGATTATATACAATTTTTATTTGTCAGTTATACTTTAATAAAACAGAGGGGAAAAAATAAACCTTATTCCACACCCAGTAGCAACAGCTGCATATATGTAAGTGTGATTACAACTGAGAACATTTAAATACTGACCATCCTGACTGAATATTTGATTATATTCAGAAATCATTGTGGCTGGGTGTGGTGGCTCACACCTGTAATCCCAGCGTTTTGGGAGGCTAAGGTGGGCAGATCACGAGGTCGAGACAGAGACCATCCTGGCTCACCTGGTGAAACCCCATCTCTACTGAAAATACAAAAAATTAGCTGAGTGTGGTGGCGCACACCTGTAGTCCCAGTTCCTCGGGATGTTGAGACAGGAGAATCATTGCTTGAATCCAGGAGGCAGAGGTGTAGTGAGCCAAGATCGTGCCACTGCACTACAGCTTGGTGACACAGCAAGACTCCATCTTAAAAAAAAAAAAAAGAAATTATTGATATTTTTAAATATGAGATTGTGGATATGTTAAAACTGTAACATGTTTTATACATATATCTAAAAACTTGTAAAAATGATCTCATGTCTGAAATTTGCTTTAAACAATCTAAAAGAGGTGAAGTAGGTGGGTTATAGATGAAATACCCTTTACTGTGAGTTGATAACTATTGCAGTTACTTGGTAGGCACATGGTGATTCATCACATATTTTCTCTAATTTTGTCTACATTGGTAATTTTTAATATTTGGAAAAAAATCAGTCATGTGTTATAGCAAGTTGTAGTTTATTTGTTTCAGGTGTGTGAGCAGAATGCTAGATACCCCTAGTTCCTGAGAGTCAGGATCTGGAATAGAAATTATAGCATTTTATCATTTATTCTACTCCTTGAACTCATGAGATAGGCATTATTTATACTATTTAAGGTTAAGAAAGCTGAAACTTGGAGAAGTAAGTGATTAGTTCAAGGTCACACAACCTAAATCTCAGTTTTGGCATTTGAACCTAGGAAAGCCTGTCGGTCTTTCCCAGTCTCACACAGGGCTACATTTTGGGCTGTTTAATGCACAGAGAAAAGTGGAGATCCATCAGTCAGGAGTTTAGCTATTTGGTAGAGGGACACCTGAATTCAGCCAAGAAAATTTCATGATCTGTAGCTTTTTCTTCTCTATAATGATTAGATTCATGATTATTTCCTCATTCTTTTATTCCTTCATGCACCAGTATTTCTTGAGTTGCTTTCATGTGCCCAGAACTGCTCTAAGGCTTCAAGATGAAAGTGTACAAAACAAAGCAGCCTCCTGCCTCATGCAGTATATTATGTCTAATAGGAAAAAGGATGTTTGTAAAAGTAAATTCTTATAAATAAATATAGGTGGTGAAGGAGATAATTACAGACTTGAAATAACAGAGTGGAAGAACCTGCACTGAACTGTAATATCAAGTAAGGTGTCTTTAACTGAGGGCATGAGAAAGGGTTGACATGTGAAAGGTTTGGTTTGGTGGAGGGGGGTGGAAAACATGGGGAATTCCAGGCAAAAGGAATGGGAAGATCTTGTAACCAACAAAAAAACATTGCTTGGGAAGCTGAAAAAAATGCCAATATGGCTGGAGCAGAATGCAAAAAGGGAAGCTGGGAGAAATAAAAGTTGGAGATACAGGCAGGCAAATGAGTGCTACCATGAAGATCGCCAAGAACACACATTTAGATGAGGACAGTCATGGCACTCTGAACGTTCAGTGCAATAATGCTGTTCACCAGCATTTGTCATTTATAAAAGTACTTACTGATAAATTCTGTGTGATTCCCATTGTGTCTTGAAATAAACACGTCTCTCTCACAGTCTCATCTCTCTACTGAGCTCCAACTTCCTCACGGGATGTCTCATATGCTTCTTATTACTTGACTAAAAAAGCTCACCTGATTTCTCCAGAATCTACTTATGCCTGATATTAATAAAGACCCTCATCCATCCAGTCACCCAAGACAGAAATCTAGATTACACTTTAGAATATTCTCTGAAAATTCTATCAGCTACCAAATTTTACAGATTCCATAGCCACAGCGTCACCTATACCTGAGTTTTTCTCTGCACGTTGACTTCTATTGCCTTAGTTCAGGTATTCATCACTTCTTGGAATGATTTCCTGATAGGCCATTTTTCCTCTCATCTCACACCCCTGCTATCCATCCTCCGTGCTATCATCAAATTGACCTTCTAAATCCTACTGTTACATCCCATCCAGGCTAGAATCATTTATTACACACTTTACTCTGAATGAAGTTCATAATTCTTGGTATGGCACAAAAGACCCTCTTACCCTTATCTGCTCCTCAGTCTTGTCTTTCACTGAATCATTTCTTAGACTCTATTCTTCTCATACAAAACTACCTGCAGTGCCCATGACAAGCCAGCCTATTTCACACCTCTATGCTTCTGCTCACTTTCCTGATAATGCCCTTCTGTTTCCCTCTGACTAATGCATGAATGACTCTTATTGAAAGAGGATTGACTTCTCTTTGACGATAAAGATCCATCATTACATGCTCTGTGAAGGCTTCCTTTCCCACTTCAGCACTTTATATGGCACCAAATCTGCACCTCTAGCAATCCGGCACATTTATTTCCATTTCATAGTATATTTCCTATTGCTTTATGTCTCTCAATTCTAGATAAAAATAAATTAGAATCAGAGCTTTGCCTAGAAGAGGATTAGTTGGTGCTACAGAAATCTTAAAGAAGAAATGCTGCTTTATATATTTCTCAGAGTATGTACAGTTCTATTAAACTATTAAGCTGTGATTATGATAAAATTCTTTATATACTACTCAGAGATGACATCTTTCTATGCAAAATATCATGCTAAGAATTCTTGCATAGTGACTGCTTGTGTACATTGGTGTCATCTATAATCTTTTTATTATTTAGTGTCTTGTTCTTTTCATTCTTGTCCAATTCAATTATTTGAATAAAATTTCTTGTTTTGGATAACATTTCAATTATTCTTCATTTTTTACATTACATTAAAGCAGAACTGGTATGCTGTCACAGCAATAAGATTATGATTCCAGAATTAAAAAATATTCTCAATGTTTAAAAGAGCATGAAATCAAATATATTTTAGTTTGCTTTTGACAGATGTGTAAAGCAATTTCATGCTATACTATTTCCCTCAGTCTGTATTATAAGAGAGTGAGCTCTACCAGTAATTAGTAAACTCTTGTGTTTGTCTCATAATTTTCTTTCAAATGATGTTCCCATGAAACATCTTACTCAATTAAGTGCCCCTTACATCAACTCTACCAGTTCAATACCAAAGTATTGATATATTTAACATATTTTACTTAATAGAATCAACTAGAGATAAGATATGATGAGCTAAATATCTTGCATTATTTGGGTTGAAGTTATGTATGTCTGCAAATTATCTCCCACAATTAATCTCTTACATCTCTTTCTTAGGGTACAGGTTTGATCCCCTGCAGATGCTTCTTATGTCTCTGTAAGGAAAGAGAGGAAGGTGAGAGAGACAGAGAGAGAGATAGAGAGAGATGAGAGGAGGGAGAGGGACAATCTGTTTGGGATGTACAGAGACAGTCCTATTTTAATGAGTATTTTTGGTTTGTTTTTAAGATTATTTAATTTTTCTAAATGTCTTAGCAACATATAAGGAAGTTATTTTAAAACTTTATAAAACATGAGAAACTGTATTAACACATTTCTTAGTGTTAAACTTGCATTTATTTCACAAATCACATCTCGTATGGTCTACCTCTCTTTCAACTAATAGGTATGTTTCAATTAGTTAATATTTGCTCTTAAATTATGTTTGTTTATATTTGAGATTTGTCTAATACTTTTCCTTGGAGGACTATTTTTCAGGTTTTAATACTATCACTTTTTTGCTCATCTTATTAATAATTAGAAAACCTTTCTTCCTTTGATATGCCCCAGAACAGTTTAAACAGCATTGAAACTGAACAGTTTAAATAGCATTAATAACTCTCCATGGCTGGCCTTTTGAGAAGGACATTCTAGCAATCCCCTAATTTTCATACAGTATTGTTCTTTTGGATTCCCTATTTCATCTTTGGCCAGTTCAGAAAATTACAATTACCTGGAAGGTTATCTATTTCATTTATATTTTCAAGCTTATTTATGCAGTTGAAATAATCTCACAGGAATATTTTAATGTTTTATCTTTAGGTGGTTAGTTCCCCATTCTTATTTCTAATGTATTACGTATGTTCTCCAACCCTTTCTTTTTCAAGTGTCAAATGCTATTTATAAAAATTTTACAAAGTGAAATGTGGAATTCTATTGGATGACAAAGTACACAAAAGACAATAAATAATTATTTCTTTCATTGTGTTTTCTTTCAAAATTCATGTCTTTGAATTTATTCACTAGTACTGCTGCTTTCTGCTTGATAATTGATACATTTCTTCTTGTTGCTTTTATTAATTTTTCTTCTACTTTTCTTTGGTTCTTTTTAAATGCTTTTCTATATCTTTTTAAAACATTTAGCTCAATAACTAACTGATTTATTTTTATTCTACCTGATAAATTAATGTGTCTTTTTAAGAGAATGGATTTTTCTAGTTTTACCATTGATTTTGACTAATCTCACACCTTTTGATATGGAACATTTTATTGTTATTTTCTGTTTATTTTCACATTCTGTTTTGTGAGGTTTTTTTCTGTTTTGTGATCACAGAGTATTGCAACTTAAGGATGCTTACATTATTCCTGAATATATGGTCAATTTTTATAAATATCCTATCAGCACTTGAGGAGATGTTCTTTTTTTAGGATACAGAGTTAAATACATAATTATCACAATATGCTTGTGTTCATTTAGGTCTCCCACCCTTTAGGTACATTTATTCACTTGAATTTTTAAGAATTGAGAGAGGTAAATTAGATTTTTACTATTACTAATATTTTTACATTGTGTTTTTATAATTGTGACTGAATCTATTTTTATATTACTGTTATTTGGAGAAGATAATTTTATAATTATTTGATTTTCATTATGAAATGTATCCTTTATCATTATAAAGTGACTTTATTCATCAATCTTTTCTGATAAGATTGTGATTATTGCTTTTTTGTGCTATTCGCCTGTTTCGTTTGCTTGTTTTTGATTTTTTGCTCATCTTTTTCTGGGAGTCTTTTTATTGGGGGCTAGAGATAGACTGTAAACAAAGTATTTGGTCTTGATTTTGTCACTTAAAAGGGGAAGTTTTAGCCCACTTAAATTAATTGACATGATATTGGTTTTTTGTATCAGTCTTCATATATTATGTTAAATGTTCTGTTTTTATGTTTCTTTTGTTTTTCAACTTTCTTACATGGTATGGTTTCCTTTATCTGCTATCTGCCTGCTTGTAGTTTAGAATGTTGGTATTTTTATTACACTTCAGATATTACTTGTATATCTATAGCTTTATGTACATAAACTTCTATTCCTGTAGCCAATATGAACATTGACAAAATAAACACATTTTTATTGCCTTATCCTTCCCTTTCTCCTTTTACTATTTAATATTATTTTTATATTACATTTTACTATTTTCCTGGCATATTTGTTTTTTACTTCTATATATACTCACATCTCTATCTTTAATTATCAACTTAAACATCTGTCTTTTGTCCACTGTTTCTTCACAATGAAGATGATATAACACTTATGTTATCTTCTGCATTCTTTCCCCCTTTCTTTCCTAATTTTAGTCATATATAGTTTTTGTTATTTGCAGTCTCTCTCTGTAACCAGAAGGATGGCGACCAGAAAAATTACTATAGACTGTCTTCAGCTTATATTGGTGGCAGGAAGCTATTTCCTAAACCAACCCAAAGCCAAATTTTAAAGAAATGCTAGAAAAGAATTATATGCAGAGAGTGCTTACAAGAAGGAAGCTGACACTCCTAGTTGGTGGTTTGCTTAGGCGCCACAAGTACACTCCTCCTGCTTAATGAGGATTAAGGAAGGTGGTGGAGTTGGAGGGATCTGCGGAAGAGAACCCTACTCTCTATTTGATGTGGCAAGAAGACAAAGTATCCTGTGTGTCCAGGGCGATCTAGGGGGTTATCTGGGCTTAAGCTGGTTGGCTATGATCATCTCTCCAGGCCAGCCTTCTTTTGGTTGAGGGGATCCCAGCAAAAAGGTGCTATTAAATACACTATGGAGATTGTGGTAAAAGTTGAGCCAAAGCAACTCTTGAATACAAAGCAGACTCTCCTAGAGCCTCGTGTATAATTCATTATGGGTGGGCTAGCACTGAGGCTCTTGA